CTTTCAAAATGTGTTATACAGGACATTTTTTTGCATAGTGATCCATAATTGAATAGTATCATTGAGATTTGCGTTTTGCTGTCACTCAAAAATTATGCTTTTGTTCATAAATACGACTAAACGCCATTTTTTGTCGGATTAGAATTTTAGTTAATGAACCTACTCCTATTTAAATACATATTTATGTCACCATCTTAAGAAGTAAATTTTTTGTCCGTTTAAACCACTCGGTGCAACCATACTTGCCGGCTCGTGTGGGCAGTTCAGTTGAAGCTGGACTGTGGTGCTAAGGGTCCCTGGTTCGAATCCGGGTTCGGGCATGGATATTTGTAAATGTATAGTGGGTTGGGTTGGTAGAGCAGCCTTCGCTGAAACCCCGCCCACTCAAAAATAAAGGCAAGTAAATATGAATAAATAAAAAATACTTCGATACATTTTAAAGCAATCTCAGTTAATCTTGTAACTAACTGTTACATCTCTCTTCTGGCCCATTGTTCCTGAGGTATGCGAGATTGTAGTTTTGACCTCACCGGCAGATCCATCCTACCTTCCGTTTTCCCTTTAACCTATTCCATGCAGAGTACCCAGGTGCATATTCGACCTTCTAGCTCGTGTTTTGATTACTTTACCTTGAGCTACATCAACAAAACTTCTAAGTATTGTTGTGTAAACTACATAATGCGGGCGTTTGTTAGATAAAATTTTATTATAATAATATTGGGTCACACTATACGTGTAATTTCAATTATTTTTAAAGCGTTCATGTGGTACGTTAATTCTTAGATTAAACGCAAATCTCACCATATCATTTGAATTCGGGGTCAATTCTGTTTTGTATCGAAACTATTTTGTTAATTTTATTTACGAAAACCTTTGTATTTGGTTTATTTTATTTTATAGTTTGATTATTTGTTTGTTGTTATTGTAAAAGTTACGATCGTTTGCTATAAGAGTCCTTATCGCGGCGTATGCTAATTATTTTCAAGATAAGCACGTGTTATCGCCATTGTAAGCAGATGTTAATTTTTTCATAGACGCAGTATTTTTTTAAGAAAAGAGGAAAGGAAGGGAAATTGTTTTAAATAGAAGAGGAAGACGTTAATCGTGGTTGTCTTGTTTGGTGGGCGTTATTTTTTGCAAAACGGACAAATTTTGCCAGTATCGAAGCTTTTTGTCAGTTACAAAGTTTTGTAGTAGAATGTCTAGTAGACAGATAAAACTCGTGGTTGTGGTTGATCCATGCTCAAAATGGGGATGATGAACCATGAATGAAATAAACGACTCAATTCCTCAAAACCTTCCCCATGGATATTTAATTGTTGACAGACAGATATATTGTGAAATGTTACGACATGTTTCGATTGTTAATCATCTTCAGGTAACAAAGTACGGTGTAGTAATTTTTCTCACACACCGTACTTATAATTTGTTACCTGAAGATGATTAACAATCGAAACATGTAACATTTCACAATATGTTTGTCAACAATTAAATATCCATGGGGAAGGTTTTGAGGAATTGAGTCGTTTATTTCATTCAAAGTCTAGTAAAGCTCAAGTGTGTTACGAGTTACGTTTCACGGAGAAAATTGTATAAGTGGAGGTATACGGAAGCGTGTTTTAAGTTTCAGAGGGAAGGCTTTAGTCTTTAGTGCGTCTGCTTGTTAAAAAGCGCAATTATGACCGGATTATTAATTAACTTAAAGTAATCCAAAAAAATTTATTGGTTTAAATCGCTTATTGTGTGGTAGATGTGTTATCTTGGCCCCATTGCCATTCTTAAAAAATTTGTTAATTAATTCTTTGGAAGTTTGGAAGCGTTTAAGGCTGCTGAATTTCTCAAATTAACAAAATTTACGTCAATATCGACATTTTCGTCGTGGCGGAGGCTACATTTTAAGACTTATTAACCTTAAACCCTCAGGCGGATAGACCGGCGGTGTTTAATCAACATTTTTGTAAGTAATCCGAGGACTACGCCCCAAAAGTGCCAACTTTTACGTTCCTTTTCATTTTTTCCAGCAACAATGGCACACAGAATATTGAAACTAACGTCTCAAGGTGTCTGGGTTTACGATTTGTACTCGTAGAGGGTGAACTTGAGCGTTTCATGCGTGAAAATCGCATGTATTTTGTAGCCGGATAGTATTGTTGTAAGGCCAATTTAAAAGTCAAAGTTGTGCGTATAAAAGGTAAAATAATAACAAAAAAATTATAATAGCCGCACATATAAAAACTACGTTCATCTGTGTCCAATATTAACATTCGAATTTCACCATAAATCGAAAACCTTCCATTTATTAATGGACATCCAAATGAGCGGCGAATTATTTTAAAGACTTAGGCGTGTTATCCTTTTGAGCTGGCCAGTTGTTTTATTTAACGCTTGCGCTTGTTTACGATCGGCGCGGGACATCGTCCTCCAAAGTCAATTTGCAGGGGTCGTCTTCAAGCCCCTAAGAGATCACAGAAAATGAACGCTTTATTTAATAATTTAGATTTGCTTGTTCAGAATTACTTGTCATATTGTTAACTAACATAAATTGAATTATCTGGCCAGTAGATATATTTTGAGTTAAGCTAGTGTCTTTTTAGGACCACTGTAAAATTTATTTAATTTCATATATTTAATCAACAGTGCATTAAAATAGTTGATTAAATTTTAGTCATATATTTTGCTTAGAAGTAGGTCAAGTCAATTTGGCACGCAACAAAATCCCTAGTGCGTAAGGAATTTTGGGTGAAAAATTGAAGACCAACACGACCCACACGACCAAGAAATGGTTTGAGTATAAAGTAGGTAAATTATACTGCACTTTTTAAAATAATATTTTAAAATGAAAACTTGGACTCTCCCATAACTTTCCACTGGGATAAATAATAATTTTCCAGTAAACTACCGGATAGAAACTGGAAACTAATGGTCGCTTTGAAATTGATTAACTTTTAACGCCAAATTTATTTATTTAGGCTCAAAAGGCCGCTATTCGACATATATTGACCAAACGACCTCTCGTCTTGACTCTTCGAACGCCGAAACGAGATTTTCTAATTTTGGGAAAAATCATTCACGCTCTCTATACTTTTGAAAGCCTATTTAATGGTGGAATAGTTATAGCAAAGATATTTTGTCAATTTCCCTTGGTTCACCAACTTTCTGGGCTGGCTACAGAAAAGTTGACACGACAGATTTTACTTATCTTTTCTCAAAGGATGCTTAATTCGCAGCGTAGGATATGTAACCTAATATGACCTCTTTTTATCGAGTAAAACAACACCGACTTTCGACAATGGGGCGCCAAGTGCGATTTAAACAAAGACGTTACCGATAAACATGACGAAGACGACAAATAAAGTTCACTACGTTAATCCGACTATGTATCTCAGTGGTAGAGCGTCCGGAGGTCGGGTGTTCGAACCTGGGCTGAAGTAAGAATTTTTCATCTGTGACGGAGATGGGAATTTCCTTAGATCAGTTTCGAGCATTCTGCCGGTTTGGTTTTCCTGCAGGTTTCCTAACTCGTAGGGTAAATACCAGAGTAGTGTAGACAACTTAAGACCTTCTGAAAAGCAGTATGCGGGTCACTGTAATTGAGCGCAAGCCTCTTGAGGGCCCAGAACAAGAGAGGTATAATAAATAAATAAACAATCGACAAAATAAAACCTTGAACTTGACATAAGGAATATTTGTTTGGTTAAATGTTACTGAAACCTTGACTTCTTTTAAAATTGGAAATTCCTCTTACGCATACTTCAATGGAATAAATCGCAAAAAATTTAATGCAAATCATCGCTCTCGTTACAGCACCCATTACAGATCGGAAGTGGAATTTCGCGAAAACAAAGAAGGATCATCAGAACGCATTCCTAATACGTTAATAAGCAAACCTAGGTTTAAATACTGTGAATCCCGTGTGCTTAGAGAAACAAGACGGCATCTAACGATGACCGTCGTTCACCCTTTATTTAGAGAAAACTAACTTTCAAATCAGCCACCAGCTCGGGCAGATCATTATGTAACTTAATGGCGTTCTCCAGTGAAGTTCAAAAAAGAGAAAAACATGTCTAGAGCCAAAGCGGCAGATCAGGTAAACGCAATTGACTCCGAGAAACGTGAGATGATACCTCAATATGTGTTTTTGAATGATTCGAAACTTACATTGAATTGTATATATTTTCTACATTGTAACTTATAACGTTTGCATCATAAATAAAGCAGACGATGTATTGCCGACATTTATAATAATAATAATAATAGTATTTTTTTCCATAGACAAACTAGTTTGTGTGGAAATTGTCAACAGTTGACAGTATGTATTGATTTAAAAATATAACTCAGGTGACGTATCGATTTTGATCTTGCTGAGATATTCAAACTGGCGCTTAAGCACAACGTTCCCAAACTTTATTGCCCTAAATCTACCCAAATTAAATTTTGGGTATATCAACACCACATTCTTTCTTTACTACAAAAATACAGGTAAGCAAAAAAGGTAAATTCATGCAACGAGTTAATAACTTAAGGAACAACTACAGGTCAAAGAGTCTGTGTGAAAAATCATCATTAGCGCAACCAACGTGGCGGTAATTATTTCAAACCTATATAAATATGTTCCCTATGTTCCTCTTTAACTTTTCGTCCCTCTATCCTACTGTGTATGTGTGATTTAAGATCTATCCAAAAAATTGCTTTTAATGCTTTATTTTCTGTACAGGCCGCTGTAACCATTATGCAGTATAACCTTTATCCCTTCCACCCTTACGATTTCAGCAAGCCCGTTATTTCGTTATTTTATTGCCTATATAACAGTTCGATTTGTCAGGTGTTTGTTAGTAAATTTAGAGGTATTGAACGTGATTACGCGAGATTGCACCGGAAAATGAAAAAAAAAGGCTTCGAAATGACGTCTGTAATCTGTCGAAAAATCGAGGATCTTTGGACAATGATACGCACATGATAATGATAATTTGTCTCCGAAAAAATAGTTAAATTAACATTACCTTTCTCCGTTCTGCATTCTTTCTTTAGCACCCTATTTTAAATATGTCGCTGTTGTTTAGATACACAGATTTAATTTAACAATGAGGAGCGGATTCTCATCAACAATTAAATATTATTGACAAGCGAATCCACCGTACTAAATTGATCATTTAAATTACCGACAAAAAATACGTGTTCGTTGTATAACGAAAAAAAACGAAAGCGTACCTATCTATTGGTATGTTTCTACTACTTATAGGTATGGCAAACACGCAACCTATTTTTTTATCTGCTGAACTGCATAATTATACTAACGGCCACAGCCATTAGGTCGTATATTGCTCATTTCCCCAAAAAAGAAGTGGATTAATCGGCAAAAGTAATTAATCATCTTCTTACACGACAAAGGCTTTTCGTTGCAAATTGTCACATGGAAAGGATTACGTAATTGTAATTGGACCTTCCTTTACAATTTTGCGATACAAACGTATCATTACGTTTTTTTAGTGATCCATAATTAAATTAATGATTTACGTATCAATGTTTGTTATTCTGGGGTACAAAATTTTTATTTTAGGGGCGCGCTTATTTCATATTCCAAACATTTGTTTCTACGACTGATATGAAAATGCACATAACAATCGCCAAATTATTTTGAAGGTCGTACCTACCTACTTTTTACACTCTGTAGATAAAGTTAGAACTTTTCTCGTGCTACTTGAAAGCGTGTACGTTAAACAGGCCCGGTAAATTTGTCCCCGGAATATTGCTCCTAGAAGATCCGCGCGGTTTCGGTTCGAAGAAAACTCAACCCTCAAAATTTTCTCACAAAAATTCGTCTTCGGAAAATTTACTTTGCTCACAGGACCTCACACTCCGAAAAAGTAACGTCAATACCATCGATGCCACGCCAGCTTTAATAAGGAGCGTATTGCTTAACCCACCCACACCCCTGATCAAAAATTCAATTTTATTAGGGAATTTTTTTTTAGAATTACAAACATTTGTAGATGGGTTCTCAAGTTGTTTTTATTCAAAACTGCACGCGAACCACTTTCACTTTTCACACCTGTCCATAACAAATAAACTTCCAAGATAAAAAACAGAAAGAAAAATCTGCAAACCTTATCAGCTTAAAATGCATTCCAATTTAAATGAAAGCAATAATTTCGCATTTTTATCTAATAACGTTAAAAGGAACCAGAACAACTATTTCTTGAAAGCTAGATAGACCATTGACACGATCATTCCGCCCTTTGAGAGGACCCTCCGTTTCGCAGATATCTGCACTGAAAGCACCAAAAGATATGTCTCGTCTTGACGTTCCACTTGCCCTTTATGAGTACCCTCTTCTGACACTTCGTTTTCAAGTCTATTCGCTTCGATTTGACCAATAGATACGTCTCGTCCAGACGATGAAAGTACTTTCCTCCGACAAACTGTTTTCGAAATATTCGCTGCTAAATTTTTGACATCACCAATCTATTCTTGAGACATAAGGATATCCGATCACGATAAGGGACCGAGGAGGAAGACTGTGGTTGATAGGAATTAATTTCTTTCATTGAGACCTTTCATTAGAGTGCCATGAAGAATAGCATCAATTTTACCCCCACCCCCGCCCTCCAACAAACCCCATATTTTGATAAGGACTCAGAAAGAAGGGTGGTAGTTTGTAGAAAACAGTTCGGTTTGTTGAGGCTTGGAGATCTTTAGTTAGAATACCATGAAAGATAAAATTAATTCCTACCCTCCTACACCCCCCTCCCCCCCCCCCCAGGTCAACCACTGATCTCGATTTTCAATCAATAGGAACACTATCGGATCCTCGGAAGTCGCACATATTGGATGGAATAAGAACTACGCTTTAGTATTTTAAAAGGAGGCTCACCGTCGGACAGTGTCGCCGCTGTCGGGGCTTCCATCGCTCGCTGGGTGAAATGCGTCGGCTCTCGCTTGACCACCGAGTGCGTGAGGGATCGAAAAACATCGCGGGAGATACCATCGCGCAAACTAGAAAGGATGCGAAAAGTTTCCACGTTTTCTTTCAAGAAGGCCGAGAGCGGTTTTACAGTGGCAACCGCGGCCATCTAAGGGCCAAACCACCTAGACTTGTCCCGGTACGAGTTACGTGGCGGCAACAAAGGATCCGATGCCGGAAATACATGTGGTCGCGAGTACAACTGATAGTTGAAAAGGGAAACCGGATTCCAAAGCAACATCTAGTATCCAGTCCATACTGAGCCTTACAGTTCGAAAGGAAGGGGCGACGTCTGACGTCGCACTGAAGTATCGTCTCACCACGATGGCAGCACCGGTTTCGAACCATAATGCCGTTCTACTAGAACGGGGCGTTTTGGGGCCGAATGCGGTAGAGGAGGTCGAAACGAGGTATGCGACTTGGCGCGCCTTGCGAAACGATGACGGGCGATCCACCAATAATCGAAGACGTGGAGGATCTAGAAGCGGGGGCCGACGAGTTTAACAAAAGTATGCAGGTTTCCCTACGAGACGCCACGAAGTCGTTTTGAGAACGCAGAGACAATTATCGCCCGCCCTATTGGATCCGAGTCCTAATCCGGAAAAAGAACCAAATCCAGGCTTTAAGAACAGGTCAAAGCCGCCACCGGCGACTACCGAAACGAGTCCTGGAAAAACCGCCGGCAGTCCTTGATCGACCTCTGGAAGATAACAAGGGCGCACCCTCCCGAGATCGTCCTTGCTGCACGGAGTCGGAGGACTGGGGTGTACAGACGCCTTTGCGGAGTATCTGGAACGTCAGTTTTCTCCCAACTACAAAATCGCGGATCTGGCCGCCGTCAATCGAAGGGTCAGGAGATCCCTGAGTCAAGACGACGAAGAAAAAGTATCCGACGCCGTCAAAAATACCAATCCGAGAAAGACGCGAGAACCGGAGGGCATCAGGAACAGGACGCTCAAAAAGCTCCCTCAACATGCGGTAGATAAGAGTCCTACTTTTATTCTGAGCGTGATGCTAAGACTGTCTCACTTTCAATCGCGGTGGAAAACCCTTGGAAACCGAGCCAGTTCACGACGACGTTCCCACAGAACTACCGCCCGATCAGCCTGCTGTCGACGATCACTACAGTAGCGGAAGCGGTGATCCTGAGGAGGCTGCAGGACCAAACGGACGAGAGACTCGTCATCCAATTCGGGCTCCGGAAGGGTCACTCGACGATCCACCAGCTGATAACGGCGGTAGAACACGCGACAGAAGAAGGCTTCAAACGCATGCGCTCCAAGGGTTCAGTCTTTTTGGACGTCTCTTAGGCGTTCGATAAGGTCTGACACATAACGAGCTGCTGTGGAAAATGGAGTCCGGTCTCTCCCCAGCCAAGGTTCAAATTGTTGCATGATATTTCAAAGACAGACATTGACGCGTCCGTTACGAAAGATACAGGTCGCGCGAGCGCAAAGCAACAGCAGGAGTACCCCCAGGGCTCTCGTTCTCTCCCTACGTGCGGGAGAAGGCGAAGACACGGAACACCACCATGGGTCTCTACTCAGACGACGTCGGACACTCTAGACAGCACTGAACGACCTACACGGTCCACCAGATGCAGGAGCACTGTCAACGCTGAGAAGAGGCCGTCCTTTTCACGAAAGGAAGATACCACACCATCTTCGGAAATGCCATTCCGTATAGGACCGAAGTGAAATACTTTGGCGTCGTGTGGACCGACGCCTGACGCGAAATTGCCCCCAAAAGAGCCACACGGGAACGGCAATGCTACACCCTGGTACCCCGATACCAAAAAGTTCATCGTTCGCCGTTAGAGAAGACTTTTTCATTTACCGTTCCTTCGCGTAAACTTCCTCTAATCAAACCACTCAGATCTGCAACCCCAGGACTTTTTTATTTTTCTGAACCCCGAATTATCCTGAAGCTCATAGCTGGCACTGCGGATCAGGGACCTAAATTTCAATCATGGCGGGTACTTCGTGCCTGGCCTGACTCGAGAATTCCTGCCACTAAACCCTGTCCAAGTCCCAGAAATTTCATGACCAGGCGAGGGAAGTTGGCAACACTTTGGAAGGAGGATCACTCAAACCTCATCCTACTAGTGCTGCTAGCATCCTGCTTCAAATTTCAGGTCAGCAGCACCATCCCTTCAAGAGATACGAATTTTTGGAATTTTGTTGCTAACTTCCCTCTCAGCAACACTTTGGAAGCAGGATCTCCCAAACATTATCCTGCTTTTGCTGCTATTTGTCCACATTATCCTGCTTCAAATGTCAGGTCAGCGGACCCAGCCGTTCAAGATATATGAATTTTTGAAGTTTTGTTACAAACTTCCTTCTTCGCAACACTTTGGATGTAGGGTTCCCCAAGCATTATCTTGAAAATGATGTTAGAAGTAGCTTATGGTGTTCTACTGCACATCGCGGTAAAAATTTAGTGGGGCAGAGAAATGGCCATCCATTTTTCATTTGCTGGGAAGTATTCAACACCCCCCGGTAATACTGTCATCTACAAAATGTCAGGACTTTCGTGGCAGTTTATGGGCATGGATTATATTGGAGAATCAGATACTCTCCTCTTAAGAGGTGCTGCAAGAAACGTACCACCGTTGGGTTTGAAATACTCCCCCCCCCCCCCCCGTAAAGGAAAGAATTTATTTATTTATTTAATCAATTTGAGTTGTAAACAGGACAAACCTCAAAATAAAAGCTTAAACAATATTAACAGAATAAATTAAATTAATTTTAAACACATACATAAGTGATAAATTAGTATGCAGGACACAAGTGATTGCTACTTAAATTCAGCAAAGAGTAGAGGCAAAAAAAATGTAATTTCGGAGTATAAAATAAAATTAAGATACAGTAAAATAAATGTGTATGGCATGATAGTAAATGCAACGCGACCAAGAAATAAAATAATTAATAAATAAACTAAAATGGATGACACATTCTTGAAAATGATGTTAGAAGCAGCTCATGGTATTTTAATTCAAAATTGTGATAAAATATGAGTTTTTACTGGGGGGTATTCCATACGTTCCAGACCACCCCGTTACAATTTCATCAACAAAATGTTTGGACTTTAGGATTCGCATGATAGTTTCATGGTAGAAATGCTTATCCTTCAGGGCTCTCGTGGCAGTTTATGGGCATGGACAATCATATTCTCTCCTCTTAAAAGGTGCCACAAGAAACGTAGTACAGGTGAGTCCCCCCACCTCCAGCAAAAGAAGAAAGTGGATGGCCGCTTGAAAAGGATGTTAAAAGAAGCTCATGGAGTTTTTCTGCAAATCTTGGTAAAATATGAGTGTTTACTAGGGGGTATTCCATCACAATCTACCGATGCCCTTAAAGTCAACATAGCTCAGGCTATCGCTCAAATTCAACCGGATCTATGCGGTAGAGTCATTGAAAATTGGACCACTCGAATTCGTGCCACTGTCAGAAGCCGCGGCGGACATTTGAACGATATGATATTCCACACATAATCGCATATATAGCTCTTTCAAAATTAAAATAAATTCGTTAATATCTCACATACAGCCTTTTTTATTTCATGTCAAAATCGACCCGTCCTTATTGAAAAACCCTTTATTATGTTCTCAATTTAAAATGGAATTAAGTCGAAAAATGTAATTTAACTAATAGTGTGCCACCTCAAAATACACAACACCAAAATTTAATCCAGGTAGATATTTCGCCATTAGGTTCCATTTTTGGAATGCTACAGTACCAGACACTCTTGCAAATCATCATATATTCATTCCTCTTCCAAAGAAGCTGGTACAATTGCAAAACAAGCTGCTAAAAGAAAACTAAACAAATATAAGGACCTTGTCACAGATAATTACTTATTCGTTCCCTTTGCTGTCGAAACCCTTGGACCATGGTCAGTGGCGGATTTAAATTTTTTGCACCCCTAGGCACACCAAAAGATATACCGCCCCAAAATAATCTTTAAATTGCAATACATTTTAAAATAAAATTCAAATTATAACATGAAATTTTTAAAACTAATATGACTAGAAACTATCTACCAATTCTAATTTATTTCATAATTTTAATAAAACATTTTTGTCATTTGTACCTAACTTGTTAACGGACTTATCTTAAAACTTAAAATGTTACCTAAAATAAATATAATGCAAAAAAATGCCGCCCCCTAAAGCTGCCGCCCCTAGGCACGTACCTAGTGTGCCTATATGTAAATCCGCCACTGACCATGGTGTGATGAAGCAATATCATTCATTGAAGCTATGGGAGCGTTAATTAAACTTAAAACGTTCAACACTTCTTAAAACAGAAAATTGGTATTGCAATTCAAAGAGGGAATGCAAGTTGCATTATGGGAACTTTCACCAATTCTTTCAGACTAGAAGAAATTTTTTATTTTATTTATGAAATGCGTTTTAAATAAAATTTAAAAAATCCTGAAAAAATGTTTGGAAACGATATTTTCTGGCATTTTCTCATTGACAGCAATTGGAGCTAAATTATGGTGTAGCGTTCGTAATATCACACCAAATCACTCACACCTAATCATAGTTGGTTGCATGACCTACCAACTTAAAGAAAATTAGGCGCGCGCAACTCAAAGGTTCAAATTACAAACACGATTACGCATTATTACACATTAAGTACTTAAGATAAACATATACCAAAACTAATTCGATAAATGCAGTAACTTCAATTAAAGTGAGAAGCACTAGCAACTTCTGGTAAGATCTTTGTGACGATGTTGTACGTTGCGGCAATTCTTTTGCTGTTGATATACATTATGAACAAAATACAAAACATCAACAATTATTGGAAACGAAAAGGAGTCAAACAATTACCTCCGTTACCCTTACTTGGAAATACCGGGACGACATTATTTCAAAAAACCTCCCCGGTGGATTTGTGGCATCGCATCTATAACTCCTTTCCGAATGAAAGGTAAACTTTAACAAGTAGCCATTTTCCACGCGTGGTTTTTTTTAGATATTTCGGAGTCTACCAATTCACCACTCCCACGCTGCTAATAAAAGATCTCAACCTCATCAAGCGAATAACAGTGAAAGATTTTGACACATTTCCCGAGCACGCGAGCGTTGTGCCTGAAGACGCCGATCCATTCTTTGCACGAAACATTTTGTTTATGAAAGGCAAGAGTCGTGCAACACTATTGTAGTCCAGTCAAATTAGCTCTAAAAGTAGTATAAACTGGATGTTGTCATTTCACTGAACGACACCAAGCGCATCCTATGTAAAAAGATTCGCTGAATCCGAAAATCATAGTCCCCCTGGCCGGAAACGCCCGGAACATATTGTTATAAACAAAAAACGAAGAAAAAATGGGAAAATGTCGTGTTTTTTCACATTTGACTGCCAATATCTCGTTAACTATTGCTCTGAGGGAAAAAATGAATAGAAATGAACTTGTTTAGAATAAAATTTTCTATAGGACACAGTTGGTCCGGAACGGTCATTTTCTACTATTATTGTTTTTTAGGGAAAAATGTAAAAACAGTAATCTCTAAAATTAACACTTTGTTATTACTAAGTAAAATTCATTCGATCTTTTTGAAAATCCGTATTTAGTAACTACTTTTGATAACAAAACAATATGACAAACCAGATCACCGTAGGTTTCATACTCATTGATTAATTAAATAAACAAGTAGAAAAAGAGATGGTCTGTCTTTCAAACTGGGGGAGTACAAGAGTGTTCTCAATTTTTTTATACATATTATAACCCTAAAACAATCTTTCCCAATAATTGTCCCGATGATTCCTGCAAATCGACGGACTGTGCAATTTTTTTTAAAATCCGAAGAATTTTCTTAGTTAACAAATGGAATAACTCCCGAAATATAACAAAATAATATAACTCTATAATAGGCGAATGTAAACCTCTCGGAAAGCCGTACATTAAAAAAAAATACGTCCAAATCAGATTAATAGTTCACGAGAAATCAGTTTTTGACTTTGAAGCCAGTTTTCGAAACAACCAGAATGATTTTGCAAATCGGGTAGCACCGATCGATTCTTTACAGCGTGAACTTTTTTCATGCTTCTATTTCACCAAAATGAATGATTTTTATTAATCCGAGTGCCAAAGGCCGATTATAGAGTTACTTTTCTTGTTAAATCTCGGAAGCTATTCAATTTGTTAGTTAACTAAAAAAATTCCACAGTCCATTGATTTGCAAAAATGATCGGGACAATTATTGGAAAAGATTGTTTTACGGTTCCACTATGTATAAAAAAATTGGGAACGCTCTTGTAGTCCCCCAGTTTGAAAGACAAAGCATCCCTTTTTCTACTTGTTTATTTAATTAATCAATGAGTATGAAACCTACGGTGATCTGGTTTGTCATATTGTTTTGTTATCAAAAGATGTTACTAAATACGGATTTTCAAAAAATCGGATGAATTTTACTTAGTAATAACAGAGTGTTAATTTTCGAGATTACTTTTTTACATTTTTCCGTAAATAGCAATAACAGTTGAAAATGAGCATTCCGGACCAACTGTATCTTATATAAAATTTTATTCTAAACAAGTTCATTTCTATTCATTTTTTCCCTCCGAGCAATAGTTAACGAGATATTCAGAGTCAAATGTGAAAAAACACGACATTTTCCCATTTTTTCTTCGTTTTTTGTTTATAACAATATGTTCCGGGCGTTTCCGGCCAGGGGGACTACGATTCTCGGATTCAGCGAATTTTTCTACATAGGATGCGCTTGGTGTCGTTGAGTGAAGTGACAACATCCAGCCCAAACCGTAATTTGACTGGACTATTATAGGGAGTTTACGCGTTGATTTTTAGGGGGGCAAAAATGGCAACGGCTAAAGTCGCTGCTCAGCCCAGCCTTTACCAGTTACAAGCTGAAAACGATGTACCCTCTGATGGTCTCGTGCGCCGAGCAATTAGTAAGGCACTACGAAATGAGCAGTGACGATGTAATTACTTTGGAAATGAAAGAAACATTCTCCAAGTATGCCTCCGATATTATTGGGACTACGGCCTTCGGTCTTGAGTGTAACACATTCAGTAACCCCGATAACATTTTTTACAAAATGGGCCAAGATTCTATTGCAATGAGGTTTTCCTCTCTACTTAAAATAATTGGCTACGGTGCAATTCCGGCCGTAATGAAAGTAAGCGCCCAATCTTCACCAGTCTAAATCGCATGGGTCCCTCAGTTTCTAGGTATCGCATTTTTGCCGAGGCACGTAAGCGATTTTTTTCGTAAAATCGTACTGGAAGCCATGCAACAACGCGCCAAACAAGACCTGCAAAGACCAGACGTGCTCAACCTGCTGCTGGAAGCCAGAAAGGGTCGCCTTAAGTATGAAGATGTTGATGAGACCGATACAAGTTTTGCGACAGTTCAAGAGTCCGAACTTGGTAAAGTTCAGAAGTTTAAGTCGTCGGATATTAGCGACGACGATTTGATAGCGCAGGCCGTAATTTTCTTTTTGGCCGGTTTTGATACCAGTTCGACGGCGTTGACATTTGCCGCGTATGAGTTAGCGATTAATCCGGACGTGCAGCGAAGGCTCCAGGAGGAAGTGGATGCCGCTGTGGAGGACTGCGGTGGTTTTGTTACGTACGACACTTTAATTAGCATGAGCTATATGGATTTGGTTGTTACAGGTTGACATACTCACGTTTCGATTACATGTTAAAGGTCCGAATTTCTCAGAAACCTTGCGGATGTGGCCACCACTTACATTTACCGATCGAAGGGCAGTAAAGCCATTCACTATCGAGCCAGAGGAATCCGACCAAGGTACTGTATGTTTCGACTCGGGAACCATTTGCGTGATACCCGTACATGCCATCCACATGGATCAACGTTATTATCCGAATCCAAAGAAGTTTGATCCGGACAGGTTTAGTGCGGTTAATAAACAGACTTTAACACCTTTTGCCTACCTTCCATTTGGAGCTGGGCCTAAAGGATGCATAGGTATTATACCAACTGTGCCTGCTTTACGAAATGTATCATTTTTCAGGTACTCGATTTGCTCTGTTGGAAGTTAAGTTGGTACTTTGTGCGATATTGAACAAATTTGATATTATTCCCGTGCCTGAAACAAAAATACCCGTAGTCACGAAGAGGCGCAGTTTGTTCCTGGGCGCAGAAGGTGGAATGTGGCTGGGGTTGAAAAAACGGGATAAATTGTAGGAGGTTTCTTCAAAACCGTGCTTGGTTACTATAACTTTTGCAAGTGGGCGTGTTTTAAACTACAATTCCAAATTACTACAAATAAAAGTAAAATTGATGTGAAAAGTTAACTTCGTTACTGTGTGTTCCGTTGCTCTTTGTATTCGACCTTCTACTGTAGGCAAATTACAAAAAGGAAATACCAAAAATAGAAGGCATAGGTAAGCAGTATAGTGATGGGCCGCTTAAGATCTCTGTTAGTGGCATTAATAGTGTTTTTGTAAGATATTTACTTTCCAAAATAGTTATCTACATTAACGGATAGAACAATTTTTATAGATTTGATTGATTTACAGATTGATCCTATCATTTATTGTTTGTTTATAAAAATTTGATTAATTTATAAAGATGTCAAAATATACAGTTATTACAGTTCTAGAACAACTATGACATTTTATTCCTTTGTTACTGGTCAATAAATATCAAACGTATTCTAAAGACAAAGGTCGTAAAGTCATTTAGGACAAAAAACTTCAACAACTATACAGGATAATCAAGATTAGCAGTATTATCAAGTATAAGAGGTCACGGATCCAAATTAGCAAATGCATCGCGAATCAAATACGCAATGATTAATAACTATTGAGAATCGACTGATTAAAGATCATGAAAAAAGTTTGTAGAACAAACTTTAAAATTTGTTTTTACTCGACAGAGGAATGCCTATTGTTTTTAAATCGTAATTTTAAATTTTCTTTATAATGTAACGTAAATTTAATTACTTGCTTCATTTATTTTTAACTAATTAACAATAAACTTACAACAGTCTTGAAATGAATAGATTTATAACAGTAAAATATTATTTATCATTATTTATAACAGCGCGAACTATTTATTACTTCGTCGTCAAAAGTGGAACCGGACCGAAACGCAATTTGTTTGTTTATATAGCAAACGCCTTCTATTTCTCGAAAGGTCTCAAACGCTTCCGAAGGCATCCAACTATTCTAGAACGTTCTCGAACAAACACGTCATATTTTTCGAAAAGATTACGTCACATCCGCCTTCGTTCTTTAACGCCGAGTACTAATATTTCATAGCCCCTTGATGTCTATCGAGATTCGGAATCTGGAATGTTCACTACAATATAGTATCTACAATTATGTTTGTAGCAGGCTGGAAAAACTTATAAAATCATCCAAAAAGAAAGAAGCATCTTTTCCAAGGCAGCAGTTCAAAGGCTAAAAGGACGAATCTACCCTCCAAAGATAGGGGTGAAATTTGTAATAAGAAGGAATAAACTTTTAGAAAATCATGCTAAAAGGGAACAAGTTAAAAAGTAATCGTAAACGATTTACATAAAGCGCATTTCCACTTGCATTCATTTCCCATTTATAAGATGCAACTTCTGTTAAAATCGTAAAAATCCGGCCACAAATATGAAAGATAGCGTTGCACATGGGCAATCCATTTTTTACGTGTTACTTCAATTTCAGTTTATGAGAAGAATTTCATTTCAATGCTTTTCTAAATAAGAAAGTTGGAACTGCGCATGCGCAAACCTAAATTTTAAAACTAATGTTAGATTTTCCTTTGTTCCAAGTATCAAATTTCACTTAAATGGTGCCATAGATAAAAAAGTTGGCACTGCGCATGCGCAAAAGAAAATTTTGAGACTGGCGCTCGATGATTCTTTATTCCAAGTGCCTATGTATCAAATTTCGTTTAAATTCTTCCATAAATAAAAAAGTTGGCACTGCGCATGCGCAAAACCAAATTTTTAAATTGGCGTTTGATTTTCCTTTATCCCAAGTGCCTATGTATCAAATTTCGTTTAAATTCTTCCATAAATAAAAAAGTTGGCACTGCGCATGCGCAAAACCAAATTTCGAAATTGGCGTTTGATTTTCCTTTATCCCAAGTGCCTATGTATCAAATTTCGTTTAAATTCTTCCATAAATAAAAAAGTTGGCACTGCGCATGCGCAAAACTAAATTTTGAAATTGGCGTTTGATTTTCCTTTATTCCAAGTGCCTATGTATCAAATTTCATTCAAATACTTTTATAAGTAAAAAAGTTTGCATTTCGGTTTATAAATGGTCGAGATGCGAAAAGGGCACTGTGAATTTTGAATCGATTCGATTCAACTTTTGGCATTGCGTATTATATGGCTAAAGCTATGCCCATATGGAATTTCATGCAATTCAGTTCATAACTAACGGAGATGTAAAAGCGATCGAACATTTCTAAACAAAGTTATCGTTCACACGGACAGATAGATGGACAGACAGCAAAGGAACAGACGGACAGACCAGCATGCAGACGACAGATAGCAATGCAAAATTATAAACGATCTCTAGGTTGCATTGTCTAAAATCGAACCTCTACGCACTAGTAAAAACTTTCCTATCACCATTAATTTTACATACGGCTAGCTCTGTAATACAAATTTTAATTACCCTTTACTTTTCGGGAGTTTGGCCTTCTCTTTAAATCTGAAATACAGAACCTGATGCTATGGTTTGATTGAACTCAAATAAATACGCACGTAAGATGAATCGATTCATCTTAATCAATCTTCTTTTACATCCACCTTGCTTTAAAATATTAGTTTTGTTCTAGATTTGCCGATTATGCCGTTTTTTATACATAATAAACTCCACGTACATTCTCCTATTCAAAATATCTACACACCCCTTAATGCTAAACCAGATAAGGAATTGTTTCAAATTCCCAACTAAGAAAAAAATAACGTTTGTGTCCTTTGTGTGGATTCGATTATTATCACATAATGCAATACATATCCGATTAAATTTTCATAAGTCGGTTCCATCAGGAATATTACTTACAGTTTTGGATGACACTGGTGTTTTCATCAGCTTACGATGTCTTACCTTGAAAAAAGGAACTGAGAATTTAAGCTCAATTGATTTAATAGCGTTCTGGTGTGTAAAAGCGTTGTATACAAACCGATAGTTTTTTCTCGTAATTTTGTGAACACAAAATGTTTTTTCTCCAACGGTTTATTCGGGTAAATCTTATAGACTACCCCTGCTGTAATTTAGACCTACTAACAGTTTATACTTCTACCCCGCTCTTTAAAACTGTGCGCTTGCCCTTTAGCGAAAAATAAACGAAATGTACTTAAAACTCGCATTTTATCGCAATTAGAAATCGTTTGTAGATGCCCACCTGCATTTCTGAAACGGAACCTATAGTAGGGGAGCTAACACGAAATCCACTGAACGAGAATGATCAAAATTTTAACCGATGGTGTTCCATTTTGCCCTATCAGAGTATGCTAAAATCGATCGTCTGCCGCCTCAGGTCATACGACTTAAGGCGCTGCGGGTACTTCTTGTGGTACCAATTCTGAAACGTTGTTTTTCTAAAAAATAAGTTATATACCAAATGAAAACGTTGATAATAGCTCTTAAAAAAATATTTAAAAAAATCCCGCGCATTTGGTAACTCCGTAAAAAAACAATTCTTAGTCGGTTTTTCACGAACTTTCTACGGATATAACTAGGTTACGGTGGGACGAATGAAGCTGATTTTTTTACAGACTCATGATAGGTACTACTAATGACTTAACGGTGTTTCGTTTTTAAATTTTGTCTCTAATTACAAGATTATCTTATTAGCTTAACATTATAAGATATCTTATAATTAGAGAAAAAATTTAAAAAAGAAACACTCTCATAGTCATTGGCTGTACCTACCATTAGTCTGTAAAAAAATCAGCTTCATTCTTCCAACGGTAACCTAGTTATATCCGTACAAAGTTCGTGAAAAACCGACTAAGAATTGTTTTTTTACGGAGTTATCAAATGTGCGCGATTTTTTTAAATGTTTTTTTAAGAGCTATTATCAACGTTTTCATTTAGTGTATAACTTATTTTCTCGAAAAACAACCTTTCAGAATTGGTACCACAAGAAGTACGAGTACCCGCAGCGCCTTAAGTCGTATGACCTGAGGCGGCAGACGATCGATTTTAGCATACTCTGATAGGGCAAAATGGAACTCCATCGGTTAAAATTTTGATCATTCTCGTTCAGTGGATTTCGTGCTAGCTCCCCTACTACTAGTGAAGCCGTTGAGTTTCCCTATTGAACTAGAAAAAATTGTTTTTAAAACTGCAAAGCGATCACCCGTTACATGGTCCACTCAAATAGTTAAGGGAGGGGCTGTAAGAAGCGGTGCATTAACAGCTCGCAACTCAACCAAAAACCTCACTTACCCTCGTATTTCGAAAAATTAAAAAAATCTCACTCGAAATTTTTTTAACGCAAAAATATTTAAACGTAAATTTTATAGGTAGAGTATTTCTTTTTATTTTGTAAATGTGAAGATAAATAAACAAAAGCGATCGAGATATGGAGAGTATCTTACAAAATTAACTAAAAAATGTTGCGATACAAGCGACCTATCGACATCGGACGTCATACTCAATTGCGATTAAAAAAACGTTATTATCTGCGTCAAACATTCTATTAATATTATTTCAAAATAATTATTTCAAAAATTCTTTGTGATTTGCATTAATTTAAAAGCGTTTTTGGAGGTTCTGATAGATCCCCTGAAACTGGAAAAAAGATGAAACGAAAGTATTTCAAATTAAATGTCCATACTAAATGCTGTATGTTGAGTAGCTTTCCCTTTTTCCAAATAACAGCATCACTTTTTGATTTTGAGTTGCAAAAATTCTACAATCTGCATTCAACGGAGTAAAACTTCCCGCTGGATTTTGGACCGACTAGCCGATCTTCATTAATGGGTAACAAGTACTGATAAGATTATTTAGTGTGGAATTATCTTGAGGAACGCATTGTCGATGTTACGTTTGAAAGGAAGTGGTTACCAAAAGTTGCTTCTAGTACCAGTACTGTGTTAACCGTGGAAGGTGTACTTAAAGGTGAGCAGTTACGTTTTACTATTGTTAAGGCATACTTGAAAGTTCGCCCGCACTCCACATTTGATAATAAGTACAGTTTATAAGGTCAATTGTGAAATGTTATCAAACTTATCGCTCCTTTTTCTCATTTGTACACGTATCGGTTATTGACAAGATTAAAATCGATACAATGAACTGCAGTTTGGCCCATGGAACTAAACATAAACAAAGTCAAATTGGACAATACGATTCCGATAGAGGAAATTTGGCCCCCTTGCTTGCTTCTCATCGTTTTCGTCTCCATCGGGTTTACCTCCAACATTAACCCTCAAGGAAAATTTAGAATTTCCTGAAGTCAAGAGTAAGGATTACGTTTGGCATGTGTGCGTTGTAATGGCGCTCTATCAAAATTATGTGCCAAACTTGATAATGATACCTACTTCGTCATCCACGATACAAAATACGTATCAGATAACCAAGCAATGCGTCACTTACACGTGTTTTTAAGGCTCTTCCTCTAGAATTGAATTTTATTATACCTAAATTTTC